AATTATCATTATTTTGAAAATTAGTTTTAGAGTTTATTAATTCTGAAATGCATCTTTTAATTACTAACGGTTAATTGGTCTACCAGAAAACCGAACCGAAAAAAAAGGTTAATTCTGATAATAAAGAACAAAACCATTTGGTTCCACCTTGAGGTTCAGAAACTTCCCATGTTAAAACAAAGAACTGTTAGTATGTTAGCATATAAGGTTTAGGCCCAAGGCCCTTAGGGTTTAGGTTAGGTCAAGGGACATTTATGTATCCCTATTTATATGAGGTTTAATCCTCACTATTAATCAAACAAGTCATTATATTACATGGTATCAGAGCTGTAGGTTGAAACCTTATTACTGACCACAACCCACAACCACTGCCTTTCACCTCCGACGACCTTTTCTATTAGTCGTCAAAGGCGCCTTAATTTGGTTCAATTGTTTTTTCCATTTCGTGTTTCTCCTCCTAAATAATAATACAACTGTTGGCCCCAAACCAAATCCCCTTCCTTGGCTTCTCTTACTCCCTTCGAGCCTTTTATCTCCTCCTAGGATGACCCTTACTTCTCCGCCTCATCCTCGGATGGCCCCACTCCATGACTCTACTCTTTCGATGTTGTTGCTGCCTCCCTCCTTTGACACCATCTTGGTCGGGAAGCCTCTGATTTGGAGTCATCTCTCTCCTTATTAACACTACAGTCACCTGTCCGCCGCATCTGATTCATGATCGTCGCCACTACCGTCAACTATCTTCTTCTTCTACAGTGGAACCGCCTTTGGCCGTCGATTTTTCTCTATTCTTTTTTGACGAGTAGTCGCTGTTAACTGCCATCGTTAGAGCCAACCACCATCACCTCCGTTGCCGCTGTCTATATCTATCTTTTTTATGTTTTGTTCTTTTCCCTCTTTCTCCAATTTTATCGTCTCCACCCGATCAAACTGTGGGGGATGTTGGTATGTTAGTATCTTATAAGAACAAATCTACCTATCCTATGGTTAGGGAAAAAATACCATGATTTGGGACTAACTACCTTTCCAAAGGCTACGAAAAAGCCCAAGGTTGGGGACTGGGTTTTCCGTGATTGTGTAAAACTTCCCATGGTTTTTGGAATGGAAACGCCATGTTTCTTCTTTCATAGACATCTCAAGTGTGTAGAAGGATACCTACAATTGTTGGAATGTAACTCACAACCCTATAAATAAAACTCATAGTTGTGTGTCTTCAATCTTACTTCGTACGTCTCACTTATGGTAATATATATATATATATATATATATATATATATATATATATATATATATATATATATATATATATATATATATCATTTAATGCCTTTTCAAACCCATCAAACTTCACATGTTCAGGAGCGTTCGTGGACCATAGGTCGCTTATCAGGCTCATAATAACTCGCCTCTTGGACGAACAACAATGTTGATACCCTTTTACACCATCAACATATCCAAAAAGGCCTCTTTCTTTGGTAGAGATTCCAACTTTATTCATTAGCATGGAAATAGGCAATGCAATTAATAAATTTAAGACCTACATAATTGGTCGGTTTCGATGACCAAACCTCATAGGGACTCTTACACTCGATAGTCTTCATCGATGACCAATCCCTTAAATAATAGATTGTGTTGACCGCCTTGGTCCATAATGCTAACCAACCCGATGCTAAAGAGGAAACTCCTATCATTTTCAAAAGATATTAGGTCGATGCTTATAAACACAAGTTTTATTTAATAGTGTATTGACCATGTTTTGTCTAGTAATGTTGTTTTCCATATAAAGGTCTTCAAAATCATTTGAGTAAAATTCCATCACATTTTTTATTAGTTGTAGCCACTAGTCTAACCTGTTTGATTTTCTACAAAAAGCTTCGAACCTTCAAATTTCTCAAAGAATATATCCACAGTTTTCATCAAGAAAACCAACTATACTCTTGAGAAGTCATCTATAATAGAGAGAAATACCTTGCACATCCTAAATATGGCTTATGGGAGGGACTCCACTAGTCCACATGTAAATTATAAGGGTTCCCCTAACCCGTGAATGAGTTTAGTGAAAACAAGCCGATTTTGCTAACAATACACATAATGTTCACAAACTCCAACTTCACTACTTTATTGTTCCAAAAAAAGGACCTTTATCAATCATGTGTATCGTGTATTTTTACCCATGTGACCAAATCGCATATGCTAAAGTGGGGTCATCTCAATGTTATCCACCTTGTATAGAGATGCTCTTATACATCACTCATTTTAGCACATACAAAGCCAACACTATAACATCGTTTAAAACTACTAATGCCCCTTTTATACCTTTAGCAGCTTGTTTTGACATATGTACTTGAACCCTTTTGGTTCCAAAGTACCAAGGAAATCAATTTTTTCTTGTTCTTTGGAACATGTCTTACCTATGTGAGTGTTCTTACAATTTCACCATGAAACCGGATGTTGATCGACTTGATGCCAGTAATCTTACATTAATCTTTAGTTTCCATGAATACGTTACATGCATAAATTCTTTTATATGTAAAAAACCATGCCCAATTTAGGTATACATGAAAGGAACACCAAAAATTGAGTACCGATTTGAAGATTGTAATCCACAATCATAAGATGATAATAGTTTCTTAAATTTAGGTCATTGGTTACCACATTCGTCTGGAACATAATTCCTTTAGTCTTAGGACAATCCTATTTCCAATGCTCATTCCTGCCACACTTGTGGCAACCTTCTCGCCACACTTGTGGCAACCTTCTCACGGTTGGACTTTTTATCGGGATATCTTGATCTACCCCTCATTTGCTTTTTTCTGCTCCCAATTTTGACACATGTATGATTTGACCTTCACCACATAAGACACAACTATTTGATTTTTACCTAACAATGTTGGTGATTTTAGTGTCACATGACATTTTATGTAATAGGAACTTACATGTGAGCTAAGAGGCTTATTGTTTGTACTCTATATTATATGTTTGGTGAATGCGGAATGCATGGATATATAAGATCGAATTATAAGCTGGTACGACCAAAAGACGGTGGTCTTATGAAATTTGAATTAGTTTCATTATGGAAAAATCGAATTTTAGTAGGTGATTATGGTAAGATTGACAAATCTTGTCGGTTTTGGAAACCATTGATTATGCCATTAAATTCGAGATTATCGTAACTAATTTAGAATATAACAACCCTAATTTGTGATGTATATATACCATGTATTTATACGACCCCTCTTCTGAGCTGTAGATAGAACCCTTCTCTAGAATTCTCTAGCGATTTGACTTGTGTTTCTATGCCTAGATACACAAGTGCCCTTTTGGATTATCGTAAACTGGATCTCCTATAACCCAAGCATAGGGTGAAAATATCAATTCAGAAAGTGAACTTACACAATCCATCAGGAATCCGGTTCTCCACCATCGATCACCCTAATATTCTAATATCCCCCAACAAACAACACCCAATTCCTTGTGCTTTAACTCTTGAGAACTTAAACATCGTCTCCCCTCATCTAATGTAACACTGTCTTGGTCGGTCGACTACAAATAAGTTTACTAAATTCTCAAATGAAGGCGGCAATGATAGTATAAGGGTGACGTTCATGTCCCTTTCCTTTTTTTAATTCCATTTTTTTAAATCTATTCTATTAAATTAAGCTCATCCAAATGCCCTTCCAAAACATAATATTCCTTTATTTTAAGAGAAAACATGTATTGCTTATAAGCTTGTTTGCCAAACATGCCTAAGTCATATCTAAATGGACCTTTTCTTCTGTTTTGTAACCATACCAAAATGGTAGCGAGCAATAATATACAACATAAGACTCCAAGCGAGTAATCATGCGAAGGATTTAGATTATATTAAGGATCGTAGATGTTTCTTTATATCATGTAATCCATTAGCTTAGTAAGTTTACTTTTTTACTCTTTATGTAACGTCTTTATAACGAATTTCTAAAAAAGGTTGTTAATTATGTCATTTAACTGAAATTTCAAAATGTCATACACATTCAGCTAAAGACATAGAATTTTAGTAGGTGATTATGGTAAGATTGACAAATCTTGTCGGTTTTGGAAACCATTGATTATGCCATTAAATTCGAGATTATCGTAACTAATTTAGAATATAACAACCCTAATTTGTCATGTATATATACCATGTATTTATACGACCCCTCTTCTGAGCTGTAGATAGAACCCTTCTCTAGAATTCTCTAGCGATTTGACTTGTGTTTCTATGCCTAGATACACAAGTGCCCTTTTGGATTATCGTAAACTGGATCTCCTATAACCCAAGCATAGGGTGAAAATATCAATTCAGAAAGTGAACTTACACAATCCATCAGGAATCCGGTTCTCCACCATCGATCACCCTAATATTCTAATATCCCCCAACAAACAACACCCAATTCCTTGTGCTTTAACTCTTGAGAACTTAAACATCGTCTCCCCTCATCTAATGTAACACTGTCTTGGTCGGTCGACTACAAATAAGTTTACTAAGTTCTCAAATGAAGGCGGCAATGATAGTATAAGGGTGACGTTCATGTCCCTTTCCTTTTTTTAATTCCATTTTTTTAAATCTATTCTATTAAATTAAGCTCATCCAAATGCCCTTCCAAAACATAATATTCCTTTATTTTAAGAGAAAACATGTATTGCTTATAAGCTTGTTTGCCAAACATGCCTAAGTCATATCTAAATGGACCTTTTCTTCTGTTTTGTAACCATACCAAAATGGTAGCGAGCAATAATATACAACATAAGACTCCAAGCGAGTAATCATGCGAAGGATTTAGATTATATTAAGGATCGTAGATGTTTCTTTATATCATGTAATCCATTAGTTTAGTAAGTTTACTTTTTTACTCTTTATGTAACGTCTTTATAACGAATTTCTAAAAAAGGTTGTTAATTATGTCATTTATAACGAATTTCTAAAAAAGGTTGTTAATATACAACATAGGGTTCCAACAGAAACAACAAAAGATATAGATATGGATTCACTAGAAACAGAAACAGACGACAAAGTCAATGTTCCAATTGAGACAAAAATAGAAGAAAAAGAAACACTTCGAACAGAAACAAAACCTCAAGACATAAATTTAACAGATATACAAATAAAAGTTGAAGACCCAAAAACCGAAGCCAAAAACAAGATCACACGCAACAAGGAGTTGCTTAAGGCTATTGTGCGAGGGAGATGGTGGGAAGTAGAATCAACACTAAAAGAAGATAAAGCCGCAGCCACAGAGGCAATAAACAGTGATGGCAACACCGTGCTTCATATAGCGGTTGGAATAGGTCGTAACTTTCTCGTCAGTGAAATATTATCTTTAATCAAACCCGGAAAATTACCTAAAATGGTAAATTTAGATGGAAGCACTGCCCTTCACATTGCAGCAATCGTTGGCAACACAGAAGCAGCAATGCTCTTGATTAAAAATGACAGACGTTTGTTGGAAATTCCAGACCATAAAGGTGAAATACCTTTGGAGAAAGCTTATGAAAATATGCATCTTGACACCATCGAATATTTGTTGAAAGCTGTGAGTGATGATGGAAAACCCAACAAACAATCTTCTACTTTAGAGGATTCTGTTAACCCTGGTGTGAAAGTAGGCGTTAACCTTCTTGTTAATGCTGTTTCTGCAAAGCAGTATGGTGCGTACCCAATATATATCCCAGAAATTAATACGATGATCCAAAGACGTACATCTTTAAATGTTCACAGTTTCTCAAATATGCTTGCAGATTTAGCAACAAAGTTTGTCAAAAAGTTTCCAAAATTTGCTGTGGAAAATGATAATGTACTTCTGGCAATAGCTAAAACTTTTCCCATGGGGCTGGACTACTGGGAAACACTTATATATCCAATTAAGTTTCTAATATACTAGAGATATATTTAATATATAGTACGAAAGGATAGTAAGGAGAAGTTGGGAATTGGTTTTAATTTCCTCTTTGTCATTATTTATTATGGTTTTAATTTCCTCTTTCAGTTAAGGATAATATCTACGAATGGATAGTAAGGAGAAGTTGGGAATTGGTTGAAATATTACAAGATTACTATGAAGCTGTAACCGAACTCATACAGGATATAGCTGATGACATAATTCTTATTATACCACTCATACTACTTTTCATCTTTGGCGGTGAGCTATCTATAACCCGTAAATGCAGTTTAAGAGATAATCATATTTGAACTTGAAAAGTATATCGTATTTTTCTAATAAAAGTTTTGTGCTTGTACAGGTCCAGTATTGATATTTATTTTGATCTATCGCTTGATTCGCCTCCTCATATTGATGGTTCATTTCCCATTCTTTATGTTTTATTTCCTCTTGTGGAACGTTGCTACCAAAGTAGGTAAGAGAATATGGAGTCAATCCAATTCCAATTGAGTTTTAGATATAAATGGAATATATTTACACGATATACTTCTAAAATAAGTTTATATATATTAACTTGCAGTTGCACCCATTAAGCATATCCATAAGAAAAAGAAGGAATGGGAAGAAGGAAAAGAAGTTCTAAAATTAGTATGTGATGAAATAGACAAGTTGGAGCTCCCTGATGCTCATCCTCGCTATTACACAAACCCGATTCTTGAGGCTGCACGTCAAAACGCTTATGAGGTTGTTGATGAGATTTTAATGAGATCCCCTGAAGCAATTCGGTATAAAGATAAAAGTGGGTATGACATCATCCAGTTAGCAGTAATACACCGTTCAGAAAAAATCTACAACCTTATCAATATCATTGGGGAGCGTAGGAGTGTTTATAGAATGATCGAAGATTCTTCTAAGAATAATATGTTGCACTTGGCTGGAAGATTAGCTCCGTCGCATAAACTAAAGCTGAGAACTGGTGCAGCATTACAACTACAAAGAGAGCTTCAATGGCGTGAGGTACATCCTTAATGAATTGTAGCATTTTATTTCTTGTTGTATGGTGCATAAACCAGCTGAATTAATCCTATACAGGAAGTGGAGAAGCTCGTGTTTCCATCATATATTACTAGAGAGAATATTTTTATGGTGTCACCTGATATGGTGTTCACAAAGGAACATGCGAACTTGGTAAAGGAGGGAGAAAAGTGGATGAAAGCCGTAGCAGAATCATGCAGCATCACTGCAGCACTAATTACCACAATTGTATTTGCAGCTGCAATTACGGTACCAGGTGGAAGCGATCAAACTACAGGCACACCATTGTTTACAGGCCACATTGCGTTCACATTCTTTGCTTTATCAGACGCCATCTCCCTATTTGCATCAAGTACGTCATTACTAATGTTCTTGTCGATACTCACTGGACGTTTTTCTGAGCAAGATTTTCTAGTCAGTTTGCCAAGACGATTGATTATTGGTCTTTGTACCTTGATGTTGTCTACAACTACCATGATAGCGGCCTTCGGCGCGACCTTGTATCTGGTATTTTGTCATAGAGAAACATGGAATCTTGCTTTAACATGTGTATTAGCTTCTGTTCCAATTGCTTCGTTTGGTACTCTTCAAATTCCCCTCATAGTAGATCTGTTTCGGTCGACATACGTACGCACATTTGGAAAGCCAAGCAACCACAATAACATTAGATTTAATCCGGACCACATTCGCTTATTTTTCGGTAAGTGAAATGAATATGCATCTTCAAACCAACAAAGATATAGAGGGTGTTCAAGTGAAGTCAAAGCATAATATCGTGTCGAACCTCACATAGGAGACCCAAGATGACTTGTAGAGCAATTCCATTGATGAAATCCTCATAAGGATGGAGAAGAAAGTTATGAAACATGTAAATTTCGATCTGTAACTCTATTATGTTGGTACTTTGAGATTCATAATAGTTGTAACTTAATTAAGTGTACAGTTCATTGCCATTGTAGGTTAACGCTTCATTGGTAAAGAGGTTTTTGGATGGGGTTATATATGAATCCTTGCATTAGTGGAGGGTGCAATGTATTTAAATGTTTAAAGATACTAAGTGTGCGTGTGGTAATGAGAAATAGCATTGAAGTAGAGTATGAAAATGGCGAGAGATAATAAGGTAGAGAAAGAGAATTGATTTCACTCTTTGGTACAACTAAGAATTAACCATAAGAATGTACATGAAAATCAATTCTCTTGTTTGATTGGAGTATTCAATGAAATCAAAATGAATTTTTAGCATGTTTATACTTCTCAAAAACAATCTTTTACAATTATGTTAATTGATGTTTTTATATTTTATTTAAATTTTATAAAATCCATCTCACAAACTGAAAATACCTTGGTTAAATATAATTTTATATCTGAATATTTACATATATATTTTTAAAAACACCCATCTCGCAAGCAGATAATAAAGGAATTCGCCATTTGTGTAATCACCAACATTCAAGTAACCAAAATGGAAGTGCAAATATGAAATAAAACTTTCATAATGGAATAAGACGACACAAAAGATCTAAGCAACATAGAAATCCTAAACTTTCACATAAACTAATTAAAATCTTGATATCCAAACACATATACTAAAGAACAATGTAACAAAAAGTTGACACAAATGAAAAATTACAATTTGTTAATATTTGTGTCATAAGGTGCGCATACGAGTTGATGAATGTCTCTGCAATCAGAAAACTTTTCTCTATTGGTGGGTACGGCCTTACAACAGCTGCTCGAATGCATATGGTTGGACATTTGTTTTGAAATACCACATACGTTATCCTCATCATCCATTATATTGTCTTGGTTCTTTCTTTTTAAGTTTTGGTGTAGGCTTCTAACTAGACGTTTTGATACTCTAAATACTGTTAATGATATTGAACCACATGTCAATCAAGATAAGAAATTATAGTAATCATATATGTAATATGTTATAGCTAGCTGTACATATCTCTTATGTTAGGAAACAAAATCATATGGGTTTTTCTTACATACTTTGTAGCTGTAATTTCTCCTCAATTGTAGCTGCTGTAATAGTAATTATACTACTCCCATCAATAAGAAAAATTAAGTTTCTTCTCATTTACATGGTATCAAAGTAGTAACTCCTCATACCTACATCTTCCCAATGAACCCACCAAACCTCTCACTCTCATCTCCTTCCAAAACTCTCTCAAACTAACTCCAACGAATTACCTTGCCTGGAAGACCATAATTGAATTCATGCTCTTTGGCTTTGACCTCTACAAGCTCATAGATGGCTCCCATCCTTCCCTTCCTCACACCATCATAGTCAATTCCAAGACAAAACCTAACCCTGCTTATTCAACTTGCGTTCGCCAAGATAAGCTCCTATTTGGTGCGATCGTTGGCACCCCCTCTCCTACTCTGGTTCCCCTCATCTCCCAATCCAAAACCTCTCATGATGCATGGAATATTCAGTCCTCAGCATACGCCGAACCATCTCGTAGTCACATCCATCAGATCAAATATCATCTTCGTCACATCACAAAAAGACCAACTCAATCTATCACTGATTACAAGCAACCCATCAAAACTTATACCGATGAACTCTCACGTCTTGGAAATCCCTTAGATCATGAAGACATCATTGAAAAAATTCTTGAAGGCCTCCAATATGATGTCTACAAGCCCATGGTTGATGCTATTAATGTGAGAGATACCTCTATTTGCATTTGAAGAACTTCACAAGAAACTTATAAACCTGAACTCACCATTAAAAATTAGTCATCTCCCATCTCATCCCTCCCAGCAAGTACACATGCCATGACCACCCGTTCAACCTATCCTAATAGCCTTCAATCTCATCCCTCAACACGTTCTTTAACCCGTTCCAATGACTTGCTACCAACACCATAATCTGGATCAATATTATGTACCCGAGCATCTCGACAGTTCCTTGATAATTGCCAATGGTGTCGTACCTACCTCACCATTATGTATCGGGTCATTATGCTTCTTAATGACCTGTTTTCAAACATATTTTTCCACATATCCAATTGCCTTCTACCCAAAACACAACCAGTCAATCTTATACCAACCCCAAAGTTGCTTAGGCTCAAGTTGCCACCACAACTTTTACGCCTTCTTCATCATGCCACGTGGAAAGTGGAGCTTCGCATCATGTTTTGATGCCATATATGGTTCCCATGGCAATTCGTGGAATAAACCACTCCGCATTCGATACACAATCCTAAAGCTATGCTTGTTTTTCAACATGATTCATTATAAAACCTATTGATCCTGAGGTGTTAGATTCATGGGAAAGTGATATCATCTTGACGTTATGCTAGCTCGACATGTATTTCCCACATATATAGAAATTTTGGAATTGAAACGTGATTCTATCACCATACCTATTTTCAAGTGAGAATCGGTTAACAACCAACAAGGCGTTAAAGTTGACAATGATGGTTTTATAGCTCTTAACCTTTCCACAAACGGCTATGTATTGAAACCATTTATTATAGCTAAACAATCTACCCAAGTATTTTATGTTGTGGACGAGAAAGAGTATGATCAATTTGCTTAGCTACCCCCATTTTCTATAAGCTTTCCATCTCCAAACGCTGATGTTGATGACACTACTTACTTATTGTAGTGACATAGTATAACTCTCGTATTTTGGCGAGTAAAAGAAGTTATTCAATATGAAACACCAAAGTGACTATAAATTTGTAGTGACATAGTATAACCGATCTATATTTTAAAACCCGATACTTGAACAGTAAAATAAATTTATATTTGTTTTAATAAAAAACACTATTTACCAAAATCACACCTAAAAACAAGGGCATAAAATGAGCACTAAAAATTAGAGGACCGAAACCAAACTTCAAAAGATAATTCTATATACAAATTTAATTTCGTGCAAAGTTATGATATATATTAAAATTTTAAAGAAAATAATGCATCTGAAATATATTATTAAACCGCTCATGAAAGTGGAATTTATCAGCCTTTTGCATCATTTAATCTAAGCCGTAAAAATACGTCACACGTCCAATCTCGTGATACTTTTGATAAATAGGCACAAATTGTAAATTCTTATCATTAACATGTGGGCTGGGGGGAGTGAAAATGTAAATAAATTCATCCCCATAATAAACGAAACCAATGTTGTCTTCAAATCCATAAATGAAAACAATAATAGATCGATTGAGCATCGGTCTGCACACTCGATTCATCAAATCCATGAATGTTTCAGGTGCATTGGTGAGCCCCAAACTGCATCACCACGAACTTGTAATGACCATAGCGAGTCCAGAATGTTGTCTTCTCCACATCCTCCTCTGTAACCCTCATCTGATGATACATTGACCTCAAATCGATCTTGGAGAACCAAGATGCACCCTGCAATTGATCAAAAAGATCATCAATCCGAGGAAGTGGGTAACGGTTCTTCACCGTTAACTTGTTCAACTCTCGATAATCAATACAAATGCGGTGAAGTTACGATATATATTAAAATTTTAAAGAAAATAATGCATCTTAAATATATTATTAAACTGCTCATGAGAGTGGAATTTGTCAACCTTTTGCGTCATTTAATATAAGCCGTAAAAATCCTTCATACGTCCAATCTCGTGATAATTTTGATAAATAGGCACAAACTGTAAATTCTTCACATTAACATGTGGATGGGTGGGGGGGAGTGAAAATGTAAATAAATCCATCCTCATAATAAACGAAACGAATATGAAAGTGAATTTGATTGCATTCCATTGAAAGTCAATGCCACTAATTAACCATGTAACTTATTATTGACTAAATTCAATTACCATTTAAAAGTAGTTCACCAAATAAAGGCATCCATCAGCTACCATCAGTATCTACCATTTGAAAAGTACATTTGGCTAACATATTTTGAGATAAAAATTTTGGATATCACGCCATGAAAATTTCATATCCCGCCACAAATTTTGAGGTATAATCAAACCCTACACCATGTTTACACTCCTGACCCCTCCCCTTCTTCTCCGCCGCAGCAACAGACAACTTTGACCACCGCACAGTCGCCTCAAACCCTTCTCCTGTGCCACCACAAAGACTCCACCTCATTGTGTGGATAGCCACTCCGGTGCCTCAAACCCTTCTCCGTTCCTCTTTTTCCCTATCCCCTACATCGTCTCACTAGGTCGACAATTCATTTCCAGTGCAACAAAACTTGTCTAAACGTCCTTCTAGTGATATATTTTGTAAGGTTTATTCATTGGTATATGATTTTTTTTATTTCATTTCATTATTATAGATTTGATGAAATGTGTTATTGACATCATTATGCAGTTACCCTATTTTAGTTATCTTCTTTTTGGAAATTTTACTAGAAAAGTCTACATAAGGTATTGTAGAATATTTGGTTCAAAAGATTGAACCTGTAGTTGTTGTTTATCATTGCCCAATCACATCTTTAGTAATAAACATTTATGACAACCCATATATCTAGTAACATTATACGACATGATTCATGTACAATCAACATGTCTCTGTTTTTTTATTTGTGTTACCGTTATTGCTTTTCAATTATTTTTAGGAAATTTTAGTAAACATATTACCAGAAAATGTCCATGTTGGAGGCAACAAGAAACAAGGTCGGGTACTAGGGACACACATCCACATATAAAGAATATAATCAATTAACAATCCATCATCTCCTAACTCTTTTACATGCTTAAAGTTTTCATAAT